CTCTCTCTCTATCTATCTATCTATCTATCTATCTATCTATCTATCTATCTATCTATCGTCACAAACAGAACTGCCCGGTAAAACCGTAGGCGGAGAGAGAGAAGAGGACAACAAACGAGGGGCTGTGATATATATATCTGTGTGTGTGTGTGTGTGTGTGTGTGTGTGTATGTGTGTGTGTGTGTGTGTGTGTGTGTGTGTGTGTGTGTGTGGACTTCCCAACGTTCTATGCTACTCCACTTTCAACATTCGTGTGGCAACACACAGACCTCCTAAATGACCACCTCCCATCTCTGTGGAATTATCCGTGAGCGATCCGAAGAGAACTGAACACTGAAATTGACAAAATGCACTTCCAACCGTTGAAGACTTCTCCCTTTCCACCCATCACAATCTCTCACTGCCAGTCGTGAACATCCTGTCGTAGTTGTCCTAAGGGGTGCCATTGATGCGCAGCATCCAAAGAGGAGCAGGGTAAAGCAAGCATTGCTGAGTCTGCATCCCTGTGGATTACGCCCAGCCAGAAGCACGTGCCCGCCATTATAAGGTCCCTGCACAGGAAAAAAAAAACAAAAAGGCTGCTGCTGCATAGAGCATCAGCCAACACATAGTAGGTCATCGAGAACTTCCAAAGCGCAAGCAATAGTGGACATGGCATAAGAATATCGATATGTCTGAGGATTTATACGTATATGTAGAGTTCGGCATCCTGATGAGACATTCGGCGAAACTCCGACGAAAGGGTCTGTCACAGCCCCTCGTTTGCTGTCCTCTTCTCCCTCTCTGCCTACTGTTTACGGGGCAATTCTGTCTGAATATATATTGTCACACTGTGAATCAGAGCGCGAAGGCGTAAAAAAGCAAAACAAGGAAAGGAAAAGAAGGAAGGAAGGAAAGCCCCGCCTGTTCATCACCTCTTACGTACAAGGCCAGCCACGTGGATGACAGGTTGAGCGCTGGCTGCCCCCATCCCCGTGTGGCACAAGGACCCACTTGCACGCAGCCAAAAGGCAAAGAGGTAAAGAAAAGGAGGAGGAAACCAAACCTCACAGAGGCAAGGAAAAGACAAAGGGATCCAGTGAAAGAAAGGACAAGGGAAGAGGAAGGCAGGCATATTAGCCAAGCAAAGCAATTGACACATCCCTCAGATAAACCAATTGCCACTGTCACAACAAAGTTCAACATATTTTATTTTATTTTTTTGTTTTTTGTTTTTTTTTGAGTTCAACATATTTTATATTTTTCCTTATTTTCTTTTTTCTTTTCTTCTTTTTTTCTGAATTTTTTTCTTTTTTTCTGAATTTTTTTCTTTTTTTCTTTTTTTCTTTNTTTTTTTCTTTTTTTCTTTTTTTCTTTTCATTTTTCCAAGTATCGAAAGCTTTATATGTCCTATAATCAGTGTTGCTCCCGACCTGCTTGATTCTATTGAGACCAGTTAGGAAGAGGACCCCCCACCCCGGCAGATAGGACAGGCACGCTGAGGGTGGTGTGGATGTTCACAAGGATACCCAAGGAGAGCTGCGCCAGCACAGCATTCAGCAGGACGGCTAGCACGGACCATGCCATCAAAGCAGTCCTGACAAAGGGCATGCTGTCCACATGTCAAAAAAACAGCAGGACGTTCATCACACTGCGGCATCATGCAGTTCTGATAGTGTCCTTGCTCACAAAAGGGACAACGAATGTCTGGGTGATAGGGATGTTAACAATGAGGGAATGTTGGACACCCTTCGGCACAGACGGCAGCAGCTGCAATAGTTTGATAATGGTGATGGCATAGATGATGAATGCCACAACCAAGACGCACCTCGTCTCTGCCCCGACAGGTGTCACACGAGAGTCGGTCAATAATCCAGAATAAAGTATGATTCGGCAATGCACCCAAAAACTCGTTTCCGCCGGAAATAGCCTGAATCATCGTCCCACCATCCCACAGTTCCCACTGGGCAGCTGCACGAATGAGTGCCACATAATGCCCGGGTCTGTGTAAAATACAGGCTGAAATATGAGGATGGCCATTGAGGTCATTGCCTGGCGTGATGCATAAGAAGGTAGCGACCGTGGAAAACTAACTGTAAGACATTTACAGTAAAGCCTCCTGAGGTAGTATAGTTACTACCTTCTGCAGGTGGACTATTATGGTCAAGCAACAACTGATTTTCAACAGCGTCAAGCTGATAAGCAATCGTAACAAACTGTGAAGCAGTATAACATTGACGCTGATAAGCCTGCAGGCAGACATTTGTGGCTGTCAAACCACAAGAATTTGGTAGGTCTGCCCGCAGATCCGAATCGGTCACCACTGGAAAGCCAGATGTGATCTGGCGGGGTCGGCGCATAAATGATGAACTCCGCCGACGTGGCAGAGCAGATTGTCGGTAAGACAAAGAACCCCGCAAATTAGCATCAACACGACGTCGAGAGGAAGGGGGACTAGGAGGAGGAGAGAATGAACGAGCCTGCCGACGTCCCAATATGGACAACGAAGACAAAGGAGGGGCCGGTCGTAGCCGGCGTGGTGAAGAAGAAGAAGACAAACTAGAAGGGACAAATGAGGAAGAAGAAGAAAAAGAGGTCGAAAAAGATGAAGAAGAAGAAGACACATGAAATCAGAGCGCCAAAGCGAAAAACAGAAACAAGAACAACTTAATATTCTTCCTTACAACTCCCACTGTTCAGAACCTCTTGCGTACAAGTATATATATATACACTGTGAATCAAAGCGCAATATTGGTCTCGGGGTGTTCATGGCATCCGTGGCCACCGCAGCTGTTGTGTCATCCTTGGTCTCGATGTGTTCCTCCATGGCATCCGTGGCCATGCCTGCATTACCACCTGCAGTGTCTTCACTGCCGTTATTTCCCCTGGTTTTATCTCCGTTTGTTACCCACCTTCCGGCTACTCTACCACCCCTGTCTTCACCACTCCTACCTCCCCTGGTTTTGTCTCCATCCGTTACCCCTCTTCCTAATCCACAAACCACATCGTCCACACAGACTCCGTCATCATGTTTTGCCCCTGCAGAAAGCCTACTTCGTCGTCCTAGACGCCGGCTTCGGCCTACTTCCCAACCTCAGCTTACTCCCCTTTCCTCCATCTTTGTTCTTGGACGAAAAAGAACCCGTTCATTCTCCCCACCACGATCCTCCCCAACATCCCGTCCCCTTCTTTTGCCACCCCAAGCATCCTTACCACGCCTGCGACGCTCTTCAACTGCAGACCTTTCTGCAACGCGGCAAACACAAAATACGAGGGATGATGGCGAGGGACCATCCGAGGATGAACTTGGCAAGGGGACGGTAGGAGATTCTGTAGAAAATCTGCCTGACCGGCCTCCATCGAATTTGTGTGGCCTCGCTGCTACTAACATCTGCTTACAAGCCTATCGTCGAAAACCATATACTCACTCTGATTTATTGGCCATTGCTCCCGATCTTGATGCTCAAGAACGTGAGTTATATGGCGATAACCCGACTTTGCATCCCCCGCAAGATAGTAATTACACTCCACATGGGGGATTCAATGTCTCTGTTTTGGAGACTGCTTTGATAAGGCGCCGGCTTGATATGCATCGTGCCCCTTCGAGTGACGACCCAGACCACTGTTTGCACATTTGTGCCTATATTCTACATGCTCCTGGCCACTACACCGCTATTGTCAGTGCCTCTAGTTCTTGGGAATTATGGAATGGTGGTGCTATGGTGCAAACTATTACTGCCAGATGTGATCTCGTGTGTAATTACCCTAACTTGCAACTGTTCCAGGTCATTGACCCTATGGGTACCTCGTGTACTTCCATGCCCGCCTCTACACCTATCTCTGTGCCTGCCTCCGTACCTGTCTCTGTGCCTGTTTCTGTGTCTGTCTCCTTCCAGATTACTGGCACTATGGGTACCTCGTGTATTTTCGTCCCCGCCTCTGCACCTGTCTCTACGCCTGCCTCCGCACTTGTCTCCATGCCTGTTTCTGTGTCTGTCTCTGTGCCTACCTCCATGTCGATCAGTGTGCCTGCTTTAGTCTTCATTCCCCCACATGCTGCACTAAAACCTTGTGACCTCCTTTGTGAGATCACTGACGCAGTTACACTTGGTTGTGGAAAGCATCGACTTTGTCGACATCACTACAACCGTATAATTTTTCGGGCCCTCTGTCGGCAGGGATGCCACCTGTATCCGGATTGTGAACATCCTCTACATCCAGATGCAGTACGTCCCATTTGTGCCTGCGGGCGCTATAGCGAATGTGCACGTAACCGTGATGGTGAACGCCCCACAATCGTCATGGCTTGCATCCGGCATGCCCTCTGTCGTGCATGCTTTAGAGGTATGGTTAATGCTAGCCGCCCTGGCTCCTGCTGTGACAAAGTTGCTTACCTGAATGGTTTTCATCCTGTAGATCAACGGGAGGGCTGCTACCATCACCCGCATCCTTATGACAGTTGTCCTATCTGTCGTGAGGGTCTTACTTAGACGTACCTTGTACCCTGACAAAAATGTGCAGGTGCGTTGAAAAGAGTGTACAAGAATGTGCAAAGGTGGGAAACCCTTCACTAAAACTGCAAAACAGTGAAGAATGCAGTAAAAGAAGAACATAAGTTTGTGTCATTTTACTTTGTTTGTACCCTGCACCCTAACACCCTCAAAGGAAAAGTCCGAAGGGTGAAAATGAAAATGAAAAATGAAGAAGTGCAGGTGTGCTGAAAACCAAACGTAGTAGACTCTTCACCAAAACTGCAAAACTGTGAAAGAAAGAAGAATGCAGCAAAAGAAATAAGATATTTGTGTCAATTTTTTATTATTTTTGTATTTTTTCTCCCTCTGCCTATCAGTTTTCCTCTTCTCCTCCGCTCTTCCTTGTGTTTAACACCTCTTCCTTCACTCTGCCTTTTTCCCATAGCGTGCAAGTGGGCTGTTATGGCATACGGGGATGGGGGCAGCTCRCGCTCAACTTCATCAACGTGGCGAGCCTTGTCCGTTAGAGGCATGGTGGAGGAGGCATTAAGAAGACTGAGAAACTGAATGATTKCAATGTGTCTTTGTTTTTTATTTTTATCCCTTGTTCGGTGTAATGTTTTTTGTAAAACACTGAAAGAAATAACAATACAGTGAAACAAAGAATAAGAGGACACTGTTTTGTGTCATTCCGGTTTGTTTATCTCTTTGTATGTCTGTCCTTTCATTTTTCTATTCTTTGCTCATCTTATTTCTTCTTCTACTTCACTACGCTCTTAGTCAATAGTTTTCACATAACTATTGACTAAGAGTGCTAGTTATGTGATAATATATATATCGTCACATGAATATCAAAGAGCAAAAGCGAAAAAAGAAAAAACAAAAAAGAAAAAAGAAAAAAATGAATTCGTTTTTTTATCTTCTTCCTTACAACTCCCCCTGTTCAGAACCTCTTGCGTACAAGGCCGCCCACATGGATGTAGGTTGAGCGGCGGCTGCCCCCACCCCCGTGTGTCATATCGACCCACTTGCACACAGCCAAAAGGCAAAGAGGCAAAGAAAAGAGGAAGGGAACAGCCAAATAAAAAAGAACAGGGGTCAATAAAACAGAAATGTCAAAACATTCTTGTCTGCAAAAAAAATCAATAAAAACTCCAGTCCACAGTGTGACAACCAAAAAGAAAGAAAAGACAATCCCGGATGACGATTCCCACATACAAGCACCGCCCCGTGCTCAAAAGGCCGAACAATGGGAAACAACCAACCAAGATGCCCAATAATAGAATCGAAGCAGACAAAATTAAAACAAATCCTAAATGACAATCCTAGATGACAAGTCCCACATGCAAACACCACCCCCGGCAACTACAGGCCAAACGACGGGACAAGACCAACGAGGATGTCAAAACACACTTGCCTGCAAAACGAGAACCAGATGACCAATCCCACATGAAGCACCGCCATCCCTCCCTAAGATAGACCAAATAATGGGACTCTGAAGGAGGGGAAATAACACTTTCTCACACTGCAATTCTTTTTTTTGGGAATAATTTCTTGAAAAAAAAAGAAAGGAATATATTCTCTTTTTAAGTTTTTTTTTTTTTTTAAACCAGCTTCAAGAAACTATCAAGCAGCTGCAGGAGTGGGCGACCGTCTCGACCTGAGTACAACGCACCCTGAAAATGATCCAAATGTAATATATCCTATGTGCATTGTACATAGCCACCACTCTCAGAATACGACAACGATGAGGGTGCGTTGTACTCGGGGGAAGACGCTTGTCCCCCCGAGCGCTGCTCTGTCATTCTTCACCCTTGATATGGTCATGCAATACCATCTACTTCATCTGATTCCCGCGTTTCGCCATCAGACACCGGGGGGCTATTATGATAGACCTTGCAGTAATGTACATGGAACGGTGGATTCCCTTCCGTACAGCGTTCCACTTGGACAAGGCAGATGACGTCGGGGAGGTGGACCATCTACTCCTGTGTTTAAACCACCAGTACTTGGCCCAGCTATTGGCCACAGAAAGAAACAAAGAAAAAATAGAGTAGAAACGTTTCTAGTCGGATGAATTTGGGTACTCCTGTAGTGGTCCGTACGTTTCCTAAAATAATTGTGGCTTGTTAACGGGGCACGACTTTAGCAAGCACTGCAGTGGTTTAAGGGCAAGGGCCCCCACTAGTAGCAAAGAGGCTTGGATTAAGCTCCTGAATCTGGACGTGTTTTGAGAAGACATGCAGAACAGCAGTTCAATCTCAATTTTGTGCACCTTTGCACAAACAACGTCCAGATTCACGCATTCAATCCGATCCTCTTTGCTACCGTAGCGGGACCTCGCCCTAAATGTGCTTGTGAACTGTAGTCTGTAGCGTAAAATTGTCACTTTGTTTGCCTTTTTACCGCAGTAAAAATGCAACGCTAGGGATTACGACAGAACTCAATTGTCTTCTTTGATTGTGAATCTGGTCTGAAGTCTTGTTCTTTGTAGCGTCGGTGTCGTACCTTAGTGTTATGATTAGTTTTGTGGCTAACTTACGCTCGCTCGGCCCATTGTCATACTGTTGGCTGCGGTGCCCTTTATAGGCTGCTGTAGCCTTTTTTTTTTTTCTTTTTTCTTTTTCTAGTTGTTATAGTTAGTTAAAAGTGGGGAGTCGGGGATCGAACCGGCGTATCGTTTTGGCAATTCTTGGATTTTGTGGTATCTTGGACAGTTCGGTGCTTGGTGGTACTTGTGGCGGGAGGTGGTTCTCGGGCCCGTGCCAGGAGGTAAGGTACCCTCGAGGACTTCAGCTATTTTTTCGTGGTACTGTTGCTTTTCTTAGGCGTGCAGGTTTAGGGTCTACAGCGAGACTAACGGGCATACTCAGCACCAAGGAAACTAGCTCAGTTGCTACACCCCTGAACTGTGGAAATACAGACTCAAGTTCCAATCCAAATGCCCTCAGATGTGGAGAATAAAATCATTCTAAAATGCCTGGGGGGCGGTCAGTTCAATGATGATATCTCAAGGCCGTCGCCCTTTTGAAAAGACAAAAAAAAAAAAAAAAAAAAAAAAGGGGGCATACTCACACTCCGGTAGGCCCACGACAAATCGGAAGCTCGGAAAATCAGCGGCAAGATTGAGTCCTCGTAAAAGGAGGAGGACTCGATCTGGCTGGCCGCTCACTTTCTGATTTTGTGATTTTGAGGGCCTACCTAGTGCGAGTATACTCTAACTCCCCTACAGTAGTAGTATTAGCACGAGTTCAAACACCTAATCCTCCTCTTTTCGCTCTTACGCACCGCCACGTGCGACTAATTTCCGTGAATTTGGTCGCAGTAAGCGTGCAGATGCGGGTTTGTGGTTTGAAGGAACTATGTCTACAAATCTTCCCCCGAATACAACGCACGGTCATTATAGCCGAATTTGGTCCATCTTTGTGTCTAAATTCAGCTATAATGACCGTACGTTGTATTCGGGGGAAGACTGTGGGTCTAGGGAGGGAGTGTAAGGAGGATGACAGCGTGGCGGCTGTGGAAACGCTCGCGGTGTCGTGGACGCCGAACCTGAAGTTTTTGCCGACGCCGCGAAGACCGGTAGGTAGGACTGGTCGCACACCTTCCCTCCACGACCGGTAGATAGGACAGGTCCCACACCTTGCCATGTATTGTTGTACTTCGTTGAACACTCTTTCAGACTACTTTCTTGAGATTGGTTGCCGCATCTCCTTGGGATGTGCTATCTACTATCTTCCGAGCGACCGGTAGGTAGGACCGGTCGCACACCTTCCCTCGACGACCCACCAGTGGCTCTTCAGCTTTCCACCACGTCGCTCGTCTCCGCCTTCACTTTCTTTTTCTCTTCACTTATATCCTTTACAGCCAAACAAAGAAACAAAAAAAAAAATCGTAGCCAGGTGATGGCCAATTCTGTTAAACAACCAGTAGTACCCCAGGAGGGGGTCTTAAGCCCCCTCTGACGCACAAATGCATATGGACCCGCACGGCGCACAGATTCAGCCTCCGCA